AAAGCAATATGAATTTTTCTATATTTCAAATTACAACTAAAAGCTATATACTCTAAAATATCTATGTTTTTCAAATTTATCTAACTCAACATAATCCACATCCTTCTTATATTCTCTACTGCTAGACATATTATGATGGTGTTGACGCTTAGAAGAAGATTTGATCTGAGAGGATTTTTGTAAAGTACTTCTGAATGAAATATTATACTCGCGATGATTAGACGCAGTTCTTTTCTTTGATGCTTTTTTAGTAGACTCAAAGTATGATCTTTTCTTTGATCTTTTCTGGTAGACCTGGAATTACTTGAATTTGAATCATAGAATAATTTAATAAGATATTGCAATTGACCTTTTAAATATTAGATGCATATATACTCTTGTTCAGATCTAGAATCATTACTGGACTTAGCATTATTAGACCCAAAATCATTGTTATTGGTATTGGATTCTAAATTGTTATTATTGAACTCAGAATCTTTATTGTTGAGCCCAGAATTATTATTGTTAGACCCAGAATTACCTTTGCTGGACCCAGAATTATTGTTATTATTGGACCTAGAATTGTTGCCATTGTTGCAGTTGTTGCTGTTATTGCTATTGTTGCTGTTGTTACTGTTGTTGCTGTTATTGCTGTTGTTGCTGTTGTTGCTATTGTTACTATTGTTGTTGTTGTTGCTATTGTTGCTTTTGTTGCTGTTGTTGCTATTATTGCTGTTGTTGTCATTGTTGCTGTTATTGTCATTGTTGCTGTTGTTGCTGATGTTGCCATTGTTGTCATTGTTGCTATTGTTGCTGATGTTGCTATTATTGCTATTGTTGCTGTTGTTGTTATTGTTGAACCCAGAATTTTTGCTATTATTAGATACATTAATTGTTCCAGGATTGTTATCGAACTCCAAATCATAATAAGATTCAGAATTATTAACAAACATATTATTATTAGGCTTTAATTCTTTATTCTTAGATTTGTTGCGTTTATTAGGATCATACAATAAGGAAATAGTCTAAAAGGGGGTATCAAGTAGAGGTTTTAATAGATCTTTCCAGTCATTATTATAATGTTGATACCTTACAATTTTATTTAATTAATTTGTTAACGCTATTTTCTTAGCTTGATGTAAAATTTTCTTATACTGTTTTAAAAAAATTAGTCTGATACGAGTATAGTGAAGAAATATATTAAAATTAAAAAAAATATATAGTTGTTAGGTGCAACTATGTGATGCTAATACATGTAAATTCATATGTTAATACGTATTTTTGCCTAACAACTATAATCAATTTATTCTTTCAGATCTCCATAGTAGATTCAGCATCTTAATAACATGATCATTATTGATATTATTATCATTATATCGTTTTTTAATGGATCTTTTTTACTTTGCAAGCTCTATATTCATTTTAGATATTTCATCAGAATGATATGCTATTTCAACTACTACTTCAGTAAGTTCATCTTTCTATTCATTCTTACGAACTGAACTTAGCTAGTATTTCTCAATACTAGAGTCTTTGATGTGAATCAAATATTGAAGCCCATTAATCCTCCACTTTTTTTCTAAAAAAAAAAATATATATATATTTATAAAAATATATATATAAAATATATATATATATAATTTATATATATATATATATATATATATATAATATAAATATATATATATAATATATATAAAAATATACAGTATATATATATATATTAATATATATATATATATAATATATACTGTACACATATATGTATTAAAAAAAAACAATAATATATCGATATATATATATATATGTTAATATGAATATATTCTATAAAAAAAAAATACATACATCCTGCATGCGCGAATTCTTATTGGCACGACTTTTATTTGCTTTCTATTTGTCAGTATCTGACTTAATTTTTACAGTCGATGTATGGCTTTTATGGTTAGTCTTGAGTACTTGAACTACTTCTTTATCCAGATATTCGAGGCTTTTATTAATACATTTCTTAAGGGCAGGAAGAATAGTAATTTTCACAAAGTCTCTCTGCTAGAGCTAGCTTTTATTCTCGTTTACTGATAGGTGGAAACTATTATATACCAATTGTTTGGCTACCTGAAGTACTTCTTTCTGTATTAATAAAATAAAATGTATATTAAAATATATATATAGTATATTATATAATTCAATATTAATATTATTAAAAAAAAAAAAAAAAAAAAAAAGATCCTAAATACTTTCTTATATTAAGCATCCATAGGCACTAATTGCCTATGCTTAAACCTTGTCTAAGTTGGATCATACGACTTGTCAGATGAGAATGAATTTTCTCTTCCCTTATCTTTACAACCTTTGCTATTATTTCCATTTTTACCATTTTTATTAATATCATCATCATTAATATTTATTTCATCTAGTAAGTCTGCTACAGTAGATAATTGGGACCTTTCAAGATATCCTAGTCTTTTTTTGGACAAGGCGTCAGATGATTAGGCCCTTTCAAGATGTTCAGACAAGGCATCAGATGATTGGGCCCTTTTAAGACATCCTAGTCTTTCTTCAAGCAAGGTGACTTAGGATCTTAGAGCCAAATTTTCTAAAATATTAGCAATAATTATTAGCTAATATTCATATTATAAATAATAAAGTCATTATTGCTTACCTTCTCTCAATGCTTTTCTTTCTAAAATTGTTATATGATTAGATTTGTATTAATATTGTGTGGCTGATATCCTTATCACTCTTATTATAAGGCTATGCAAATTTAATTAATTGGTTCTCATAACCTAGTCAGCTTTTTTTTAAAATTTTATATATAATGATTTATAAAAATTTTATAAAATTCTTATAAATTGTTATATATAAAATTTTAAAAAAAAGCTGACTGGTTATGAGAACCAATTAATTAAATTTGCATAGCCTTATAATAAAAAACATACCTTCAATATCTCTTAACCTATCATGATCATGATTATGTGATCTTTTACGAGAAGGTAAGCAAGAATAATAATTATGAGAATAACAGGTATGTGAACCAGAATAGCAAGTACATGAATATGAACGTGAATGATGAGTATGTGAATGAGAATGGTGAGTATATGAATAAGAATAAAAATGATATTTGTGATGATAAGAGCAGGAATTTGGTAAATAGGAGCTAGAACAGGAATATGAATGATACTTTTTTCTTGAATACATTGTTTGGCGCAATCTTAAAAAAAGTTCAAAATAAAAAAAAGTTGATTTTTTTACTATGATATGGTTATCAGATAAAAATTAACCAAAATTTCTAAAATTTCCAAAATTTCAAAACTAAAAAAAAAAACGAATGCAGAAAATCTGATACTTCTATAATCCTCAAAAAAAAAAAAAAGAGCAACGAATATTGAAAAAATATTTATCTATAGTTAGAAAACTATAAGAAAGTAAAGTTAATAAATTCAATATCCTTATATTCTTTCAAATAGGAATCTCAAAACAAAAAGTAATTATTGAAAGAAGCACCTACTTGTATTAGAAAGCTGATAGAAAAATCAAAAAAAAATAAATAAATAATGTGAACATAAAAAAAAACTGTTCGAATAGCAAAAGATATATCTACCTCTATTTGGAATAGCAGAGAGAAGAAAAGAGGAAAATTATCAGGGAAAATGAAAAAAGGCTTGTTAATTAAAGAAAGTTAATAAGAGAAATGAAAAGGAGTTATGTGAAAGAATATTTACTCATGAAAGTAATACTAGTAAGAAGAAAAAAAAAAAGTTAACAAGGAGAAATGAAAAAGAGCTACATGAAAAAAAATATTTACTCGTAAAAGTAATACCAGTAAGAAAAATATGAGAAAGAAAGAAATGCGAAAACAGTTACTTTTTATATTTAATGAAAGAAATATGAAAACAGTTAATTTTTATATTTAACAAAAGATACTATTACACATAAACTGATAATTTTCATGATCATTATATTTTTGTAAACACAAATTAAAGAAATAGAGCTATGTATTATAACTGATAATTTTCATGATCATTATATTCTTGTATATATGTAATTAAAGAAATAGAACTATAATCATCATTTGATTGATTCAATATTATATGACATCTAATTCAATTACTTCAGACTTTTAAGTTTTTAACTTACCAGACAATTCCTGAGTTCAGTAAATTCTAAATTTGAAAACCTGAAGTCTAATTTTCTTTAGAAGCATTCATAATATTACATTATAGTATTCACTACTAAAAGAAATATTCATATCAGTTGCAATTATTAGCATATTTTATTCTTTTACCTTCTTAGTTTTTAATAACAACTATGCATGCATTTGATCGATCATTGTAAATTAAATATCCAAATATATATATAGTATGTTTATATAAGATCTATTGTTGTAAATTAAATAAACAAAATATATAAATATCAGTATATTTATATAAGATCTATTATTTTTATATGTATACATTTTTATTTATAAATAAATAATTAAAAATATACAAAATATAAAAGGTTAAGAGTAGTATTTATTTTGCTAATACGTGTATTGATAATATTTCTGATATACTTTAACTCCGATTTTTATATTAAAGGTTAAGTATAATATATGTTTTGCCGATATGCATATAGAACATATTAAAAATCTTAGTAAAATTCGTAAAACAATGTAAACTTTGATTTTGTCACTTTTGCTTTGATATAGTCTAAATATTATATAATAAAAAATATAACTTTTAATTAATTT